ACACTGTTGGTGGGAGTGTAAATTAGTTCAACCATTGTGGAAGACATTGTGGCAATTCCTCAATGACCTAAAAATAGAAATCCCATTTGACCCAGTGATTCCATTACTGGGTATATACCCAAAGGATTATAAATCATTCTACTATAAGGACACATGCACATGAATGTTCACTGCAGCACTGTTTACAATAGCAAAGACCTGGAACCAACCCAAATGCCCATCGGTGATAGACTGGACAGGGAAAATGTGGCACCTATACACCGTAGAATACTATGCAGCCATAAAAAACAATGAGTTCGTGTCATTCGTAGCGACATGGATGAACCTGGAAACCATCATTCTCAGCAAACTGACACAAGAGGAGAAAATCAAACACTGCATGTTCTCACTCATAGGTGGGTATTGAACTATGAGAACACATGGACACAGGGAGGGAAGCATCATACACTGGGGTCTGTCAGGGCAAACAGAGGAGGGACAGCAGGGTGTGGGGCTTTGGGGAGGGATAGCATGGAGAGAAATGCCAGATATAGGTGATGGGGAGGAAGGCAGGTACACACTGCCATGTGTGTACCTATGCAACAATCTTACATGTTTTTCACATGTATCCCCAAACCTAAAATGCAATTTAAAAAAAAAAGAATCTAAGAAGACCAGATAGAACTCTGGGGGTTGCTAATGTTTTCATTGTGGTCAACGTGGCAGATTATATTACCATTCACCAGTTATCTGCTGTCCCTACTGCAGTGGCCCTATATACTGGAAGAGTATACATTTCTGTCCTATTGAAGGAAGGGTCAGATTTAGACATGTGTTAGCCAAGAAAATGTAGGTTGACGTGGCATGTGTCACTTCCAAGCAGAAGCTTTAAGATTCCCTCTCCCATCAGCATGGTGACTGCCAATGTTCTAGATCAAGGCTGCTCAGTCAGACTGGTCTACAGCTGACTCATAAGGGATACATGCCATGATCAAGAAACAAGCCTTCTTAAGACTACAAAAACTGCCATAAGCAATAAACTAAAATAAAGATTTAGTTGCTTAATTCAAAGAAACCACAGGAGAGAAGTGCTCAGGAATGCGTATCTCCAAACTGCCAGGAAAAAAACTCTTTATTCATCAATCACGCCAAGAGAGCACGAAGCCACTGAGGGAGGGAGAGAGGGAAGGAGGGAAGGAGGGAAGGAAGCAAGGAAGGAAGAAAGAAAGGAAGGAAGGAAGGAAGGAAGGAAGGAAGGAAGGAAGGAAGGAAGAAAAAACCGTTCCTCTTTTCTTTTTCACCGTCAGGAAAAATTCTGAAAGACCCTGAAATGGACCAAATAAAAGTATATATAAATATATATCTTGTCTAGTGCATTATTCTGGTCTATCTGGCAATGTAGGAGCCCTTAACCATTTTTTAGCTATTTCATCTCTGTACATTGCAAAACAAAAACAAAAACAAAAACAAAAAAACTTTACAGCAATGCAAATGATTCTTATCCATAGGAACGCAAATAAAGTTTTTCAGGTAGAATCAATTGATTATTGGCCCAGGATATCAACCAGTCTTGCATCTATTTGTAAATTTACTTTAGCTTGTCTATTTCCTTATATGTGTGTCCTTTGAATTCCCCTTCAAATTGGTTGTAATGTCTTACTACCCCCTAATTAGTGAACAAGTTATAAAAATGTTTTGACATTTTATCTTATATTTTCAAGAGAGTAAATATTTTATCTTTCTGGAAAGATTATTCTTTAATACCAAGCACCCACCTCCCACAGCAGTTAACATGATGAGGGTGAGGGATGAGTTGACACCATTCCCACAGACAACTACCATCCCTAAACTTATCAAAATAAGAAGAGAATATTCTATATTAAATGGAAGAGAAAAAGTTGGACAATAAGACTGAAAATTCTGAGACTATACTTTCAATAAAACATGAAGGTAAAACTCTCAAGAGTGAGCAAACGTGTTATGAAGTTGGACAGATTGTCATTCAGAGGCAGGAGAAAATGTTCTCCAGCTGAATAACATTTAAAAGAAACAAATGAGCAACTGCAATTCGATATTTTGCAAGGTATTTTTGTTCAGTGTATAGATTATGCAAGATAAGAGCTTGGCAATTAGGAAGTCATGGGTGTCAGGAGACGGATTGATTTCAGTAGTGTTGGGGGTATCTGAATCAGTGGAGATAAATGTAGACAACTTTCCAAAGCATTCTGGTTACCAAAAAAAAAGAGAGTGTAGCACCTAAATGATAATGATGTAAACATCATCATAGATGTGGAGGATTTTCTTTAATGGAAGAGAATTTGACTACTGTATTTGCATGTTCTGAGAATTTGGAAGAGAAGTAAGATCATTGGTGGAACAAAGGTTCTAAGTAGGCATAAGAGAATGGGATCCAGAGCAGAGGTAAAAAAACTTCAAATAGAAGGAAAGTGCAAATAAAGGGGAGCGTGTGAATGAATGTAGAGAAAAAGAAGCAGAAAATGGGAAAACGTGTGACCTTAATGTGAAAGGGACAGAAGTTACCTAAGCACTCAATGTATTGAATAGTTGCCACAAGGAACTGAGAAGAAAGCTAACTAGAAATACAACAACAAGGAGTAATATTTATTAGTGCTTACTTACAAGTCATTTTACAAATGTGACATGTAAACTTTGTTGAAGCTTCACATAGCTACACATATCTGCAAAGAATTTAAAAGTGCATTCATTTATTTCTGTAATTGATCTCATTTGATTATTTCTCATCACAGTTTGGAAGACTCTTAAATCTAGTAATTAAATGCAACGGGGCCTTTTTTACATTAATTAATTCTCTTCAATACTTAATTCAAATTTCAAACTCCCTAAGGCAGGCTGTGTCCTTAAAGGATTTTTCTGCTGCCACATCCATCCCGGAAGGCATCTGCATACAGGCAAAGTCTCAGTCAGGTGCCCTCATGGGGTCGAGGTGGCAGTGCACTGACCTAGAGCAAGCTGGTCTCTGTTATGTATGGTCAGCGGAATCTTTTCTCTGGGTATCCTTCAGCGATATCTGCTAACATAAAGCTAATCAATCCTGTCTTTGTTTGGGCATGTATTGGCACCCACTGATGAGGTTTTTGCTCACCCATTACTATTTCACTCTAGCACCTCACCAAGACCTCACATTCTGAGGCCTCCATGTCCCACACAGATCTCTACTGGTTTCCTAGTCCTGTCAAGCTAGTTATGAGTCCTCCTCCCACCATACTGTGAGAGAATTCGGGCTTTTCAGTCAGCATTCACAAGCTGAGAGTAGGGAATTTATCTCGCAGGCAACTCCCTTTGCCCTTGCTGCTCTATAATTCCTGGGCCATTCTATGTATACCAGAGAAGTAAAGCACCAAACTGGATATTCTCTGATCTTCATCTGTCTACCCTTTACTTATCTATCTACCTGACTGAGTCCCAGAAAGCTGATCGGGCCAGATACTTGATAAGAAACATAGGCAGAACCCTCTCATAGTCACATCTTATAATTTTCTTCTTCCTCCATAATTAACAGTTCTTCTCTTTCTCTTATCCAGTAGAAAGTCCCCGTACATCATACCTGTGACTAAAACCATCCCCTCAGCTAGACAAAATGTTCCATAGTATTATTTCCAATTATAGCCTCCTGGCTTCCTTTTTCTTAGAATATTTTAGAAAAGTTATCATTGTAACATTATTCTTTCTCTGCCTCTCTGAGATATAAATCCTTTTAGGAGCCACTTGCCTGATTTAAAACAAGGAATATCTTTTTCAAGGACTTGGGAGCCATCCCTTTCAAATGAAATCCTCAAGAAAGATAGCACCCTTTTCTCTCAGTCTCCATGAAAGAGTAAGAGCCTAATCTTGCTCCAAGTTGTAAATTACTTTCTATCACAAAAATAAAAGTTTACTTTTTCTTTGAGAAAAGACAGTTAGCAAAGACAGGGGGCCTATGATCTCCCCCAACCCCAGCTTTCAAAAACTCCACTGCCCTTTGTTTCAGTGGAGCTGAGTTCAGACTGGGTTCTGGCCTCTCTCCCTTACTGCAATAGCCATGAATAATATCTTCCTTACTTATTTAACTTCTTCCAGTGCAATTTTTTTCTTTGACTGTTTCCACACTCTAAAACTTACACTGAAATTATAGTAGGATTAAAGGCAGCCAATCTCAACTCTTGAATATGTAAAATAACCCTTTAGGATTTAAAAACCTATGTACTCTTCTATAAGTTATTTCTTCAGACTATTGCCTTATTAAAAGTTTCTGGTTCTTATTTTGACACTGAAAAGGAGATTGCTGATTTTTAAATAAGTTCCTACTCACTTTTAATTTCTATCACAGTTTTATGGCTTTTCATGGCAATGGATTCTTCTGGTTCAACAAGAAGACCAGAACAAAGAAGTACAGAAACATCTCCATATATCTCAAAAAGTTATCTCCATTTAACATAAACAATGTCACTTAATATTTTTAACTTCCCTATCAAATGGATGCTATTATCCCCAATTTATAGGATATTAAAACTTATATACTGTAAATAATCAGCTGAAGGTCATATAGCATGGAAGATATGACAGGCATATGAAGAAGCAATGGCATTGGAAGCGGAGGAGGGTAAGGGATTAAAAGGCTAAGCCTACTTTGGTTAAGAAAAAAAAAGAAAACTAGGAGGAGGCAAACTCTTGTTGGAAAGGGGAAGGACTGGGGCAGAGCAAGATAATGGAATAGATCTCTCCAGTTATCATACCCCTGTGGACACCTCTACATAAACAACTATCCACATATGAAATTACTTTTACAAGAGCTAATGAATCCTGAATACATGAGTGAGTCTATGAAGCCCTTTTGGACTGCAAAGATGAGTAAAACCATGGTTTGACAGTAAGGGAACCAGTACTCTGTGACTGACATACTTCTCCCCCCGGCCATTATGGTATCATATGCAGAAAGTCCTCCTGAACTCACACCTTTTACACTGAATAAAGTAAACAGAAGATGAATATTTATTTGTTACCTCCATACTGGGTTCCTTCACCGTAGACTCACTCCTGCAGCACCATGAGTGTTAAAAGAGCTGAATCACCTCTGGCATGCTACGGACATAGAGAGGGGTTTGCATTAGCAATAACAATTCTGTGAAACAGCAGTGGCTAGCCATTCCTACCAGAGGAAACATTACACCAGAAAGGCTGTTTATGGGCACTACACTCTGGGAAACATAACACACAGACTGTCCAGACTTGATGGCCTGACTTGTTCTCCCCCACAACCATGTGGCTCTCTGTGGATCACCCATGGGCCCATCCAGTTACACTGCATCAGTGGTGAAGCCATTGCAAGACTTATGTCTAACCTTGGCCTTGGGCACCTCCTAATGCTGAAATGGAATATAATGGAAATTCACATAGAATTTCTAAATGAGCCCACCAAGAAACAGCCAAAAACAAACATAAATCAAGAAGACTTAAATATTTAATTCATCAATGTATAGACAGAGAGGTATGTCTACAAAAAATAAGGATAGCCTAGGAAAAATTGCCTCACCAAATGGAGAAAACAAGGTGTCAGCAACTGAACTTAAAGACATACAAATGAATAATGTGGCAGACAAAGAATTTAAAATGGCTTTTTTTAAAATCTGTGAACTTTAAGAAAGTATAGAGAAACAATTTAGAAATTTATCAGAAAAATTCAACAAAGAATTTTAAATAATGGGAAAAAATCAAATGGAAATCATGGAGTTAGAAAGTTTAATAAACAAACTGAAAAATGCAATAGAGAGCATCAACAGCAGACCTGATCAAGCAGAAGAAAGAGTGATTTCAAAGACAGGTTCTTTGAAAATATACTGTAAGAGTAGAAAAAAGAAAAAAATGAGAAGAAACAAAGAAAACTTATGAGATCCATGGGATACCATCAAAAGAACAAATCTATATAACACTGGTTTTATAGTGGAACTAAGAATATAAAAGAGTTAGAAGCTTATTCAAAGAAACAACAGAAAACTTTTTAAACTTGGAGAAAGATTAAAATGTTTAGGATGGCCAAGCGCTCTAATCTGATTTAATCTGAATAAGTCAACCCCAAGATATATTATAATTAAATTTTCAAAGGTCAAAGACAAAGTGTAGGTCCTGAAAGCACTAAGAAAAAGGAAGCATGTAATACATAAGAGAATTCCAATATGCCTAGCAGCAGACTTCTCAGCAGAAACAATACAGGCAGGAGAGAGTAAGATAATAGAATCAAGTGCTGAAGAAAAAAACTGTCAACCATGAATACAGTATCCAGCACAGCTCTCATTTAGAAATCAAAGAGAAATTAAAACACTCTCAGACAAACAAAAGATGAAAGAATTCATTGTAACTATTGTAACCATACCTTCCTTACAGTTTGAAGAAGTTTTCAAACTGAAAGAAAAGGGCATTAACACATAGTATAAAAAATTGGAAGGTATGTATCGACAGGCAAAAATAAATATTTAGATAAATTCAGAATGCTCTAATATGGTAATAATTGAATGTAAACCACTTACATATTTTTACTAGGAAGATTAAAATACAAAAAAAATATATAAATAACAACTACAGTAATTTGTTAAGGGATATGTGACATAAAAGATGTAAATTAAGAGATAAAAAATGCAAAATGTGGAGTAGTGATTGAGTTAAAAAGCAGAACGATTTCTTATCCCCATTTCTTATTATCAAAATTAAGTCGTCATCCATTTAAAATTACCTATTAAAACCATGAAATGTTCTTTGTATGCCTTATAGTAACCAAAAGGCAAAAACCTTTAATAGATACACTAAAAATAAAAGAATAAGAAACAAAAACACACAGAGAAAATCACTTAACTACAAAGGAAGACAATAAAGAAACAAAAAAGTACAAAAATTCTAAAATAAAATAAGAAAACAAATATATGGCAGTACAAGTCCTTATCTATCAATAATTACCTTGAATGTAAATAGATTAAATTATCCAGTCAGAAGACATAGAATGGGTAAATGAATTAAAGCAAGAGCTAACTATATTCTTTCTACAAGAAATTCACATCACCTGTAAACAGACATATAAATTGAAAGTAATCAGATGGAAAAATAGATTTTATGACAATGGAAACCAAAAGAATACAGGAGTAGATACATTTATATCAGAGAAAATAGTCTTCAAGTAAAAAAAAAAAAACTATAAACACAGATTAAACAAGGCTATTATGTAATAATAAAGAGGTCAGAACAACAAGAGAATAAAATAACTGTAAATATATATGCACTCAATATTGGAGAACCTAAACATATAAAGCAAACATTAACAGATCTAAAAAGAGAGATAGAAAGGAATACAATGTTGAACTCCTGGCCTCAGCAATGAACATCCCACTTTCAGCAATAAACAGACCTTTGAGACAGAATCTCACTTTCAGCAATGAACAGATCATTCAGACAGAATCTCAATAAAGAAACATCGTATTTAGACTGCACTCTAGACCAAAAGAACTTAACAGTTATTTACATAACATGTCAACCAACAATTGCATAATTCATCGTCTTTCCACTTGCACATGGAACATTGTCCATGATAGATATGTCAGACCACAAAACAAGTCTTAGCTAATCAAAAAAATCAAAATTATATCACGTTTTTTTCTGACCATATAGAATAAAGCTAGAAATAAACAACAAGAGGAACTTCAGAACTGTGCAAATACATACAAATTAAACAACATATCCCTAAACAACCAATGGGTCAATGAAAAAAATGTTAATTTTGAAAATGTCTTAAGACAAAGATGAAGTCAGAACATATGAAAACTTAAGAAATACAGCAAAACAGTCCTTAGAGGGAAGTTTATTGCAATATATTTCTACATTAAAAAAAAAAAAGGAAAGATCACAAATAACCTAACAAAGTCTTTCAAGGACCTATAAAATCAAGAACAAACTAAGCCCCAAATTAGCAGAAGACTATAAAGATCTGAGCACAAATAAATAGAATGAAGACAAAAAATACAAAAGATTAATTAAATGAAGGGATCTTTTTTGAAAATATAAAATTGACAAATGATTTGTCAGACAAAGAAAAAAAGAGAAAATTCACATAAACACAGAGGTGAAAAAGGAGACACTATGATGGGACACTACAGAAATACAAATAATCGTAAGTACTACAAACAATTATACATCAACAAATTGAAAAACCTTGAATACATACATACACTCTGTACACATACAACCTATTAAAATTGAAGAAAGAAGAAATAGAAAATGTGAATACACCAACAGTAAATGATGAGATTGAAGCAGCAATTGAGTCTCTCAATAAAGGAAACTCCAAAGGAGTAGGTCATTCCTGTAATCTCACATTTTAGGAACACAAGGCAGGAGAATCACTATAGGCCAGGAGTTCAAGATTAGCCTGGGCAAACAGCAAGACCCCATCTCTAAATATAAAAATAAAAATTAGTCATGTGTAGTGGTTTTTACTTGCGGTCCTGGCTACTGAGATGGCTGAGGCAGGAGGATAACTTAAGATGACGAATTTGAGGCTTCAGTTAGCTATGACTGCACCACTGTAAGCCAGCCTCAGTGACAGCGTGAGACTCTGTCTCTAAAAAAAACAGAAGAAAGAAGAGTTCAGGACCTGATGGTTTTCACTGACAAATTCTATAAAACATTTAAAAAAGAACTTATAAAAATTATTTACAACTATTTCAAAAAAAATGAAAAGGAGGGAACTCTTCCAAACTCATTCTATGAAGACAGCATTACCTGATTTCAAAATGAGACACGAACAGGAAAAAAAAAAAAAAAAAAAAAAACCTACAGGCCAATATCCTTGATGAACGTAGATGCAAAAATTCAACACTAGCAGTGCTAAAACTGGTAATTCAAAAGCACATTAAGATTATTCACGGCCGGGTGCGGTGGCTCAAGCCTGTAATCCCAGCACTTTGGGAGGCCGAGGTGGGTGGATCACAAGGTCAAGAGATCGAAACCATCCTGGTCAACACGGTGAAACCCCGTCTCTACTAAAAATACAAAAAATTAGCTGGGCATGGTGGTGTGTGCCTGTAATCCCAGCTAGTCAGGAGGCTGAGGCAGGAGAATTGCCTGAACCCAGGAGGCGGAGGTTGCTGTGAGCCAAGATCGCGCCATTGCACTCCAGCCTGGGTAGCAAGAGTGAAACTCTGTCTCAAAAAAAAAAAAAGATTATTCACCATAATCAAGTGGTATTTACCTGGGGAGGTAAATTATATGTATAGATATATAATATAATTTAATAAATAAATATATTATATGTTATATGTAATGTGTAATATGTAAATCAATAAATTTGATACATCACCTTAAACAATGAAGTATACAAAAATTATTTCAATAGATGCAGAAAAAGCATTTGACAAAATTTGACATCCTTTTATGATAAAATCTTTTGACAAATTAGTTATAAAAAGAACACAACATAATGAAGGCCATACATGATAACCCACAGACAACATTATACTGAATGTTGAAAAGTTGAAAGCTTGGCCTCCAGGATCTAGAATAAGACATGTATGTTTACTTTAATCATTTCTATTCAACTTAGTACTGGAAGTCCTAGTCAGAGCAATTAGGCAAGAGAAAGAAATAAGAGGCATCCAAATTGGGGAAAAAATGTCAAACTGTCCCTGTTTGCAGATAACATGATCATATATATTAAAAAAAAAAAACCCTAAACACTGTACTGAAAATCAGAAATAATAAATATAATAAAGTTTCAGGATACAAAATCAACATAAAAAATCAGTAGCATTTCTATACACCAATAGAAAACTATCTGAAAAAGAATAAAGAAAGTAATCCCATTCAAAATAGCTATTAAAAAAATAAAATACCTAGGAATAAGTTAAACCAAGAAAACATGAAAACTATTAAACATTGATAAAAGCAATTGAAAAAAATTAAAATAAATAGAAAGATATCCCATACTCATGGACTAGCAGAATTAATATTGTTGAAATGACCATCCTACTCAAATCCATCTATAGATGCAACATAATCACTATCAAATTTCCAATTTCATTCTTCACAGATATTTTAAAAGA